CCCGCATGTTTCTTGGAAAGACATCTTCAGCACTGCCTCTGCTGCAGTCTCGTCCTTTGATGATCAGTCCTTCTCTATACGATAGTATTAGAGATGCACATCGTGCAGGAACGAAGATTACTGGAGCTGCGCAGGTATGTACTAGTTTCGTGTAGTTCTCCTCTTTCTGGTTATTTGTCCAGTTCGATAACCAGTCTCCGACAGAGTGATCAAAGGAATGTAAATATTTGAGAAGAAGTTATTTAGGAAGTAATGGAGGGTACAGCGGGTGCTGGACGTTTCACAACAGTAAGCACGCAAGGATTGGATTCGCGATTTCCAACGGCAGAGACCATGAAGACGGAATTTGATGGGATTCCTTATTGTGACTTGCCTATTGTTTACATCAAAGCGACGAAGAATAACACTTTGGTGACGGTCATGGACAAGAAAAACCATGTGATCACCTATACATCATGCAGGCTTGAGGGATTCAAGCATGCGCGTAAGAAGACTACAATTGCCGGTCAGACTACAGGTGTAGCTGCTGGCCAACGATTAGTGCGAAGAGGAGTGCGAACAGTTAGAGTACAGGTACACTCGCTTTTTATGAAGTCCGCTTTTGTTGCTGAAGTTTTTTTCCCTCAGGTGAAAGGACTCGGTCCAGGGCGAATGACCTGCGTTAAAGGCCTTACAGTAGCTGGTGTACGAGTAGTGAGCATAACGGATCACACCCCCCTCAAAGAACTTGGTCCCAGACCACGAAAGATTAGGAGAGTTTAGACAGTTCTTATCCTAGATATTGTTATCGAGCAACCTGTACATTTCTTTTGTTCTGGTTTTTGAAGATTCATCTTAAAATAAATCATATGTTATAACAATGCGAAGCTCCTGAGCGGCGAGACACAGATTGACGCAAGAGATTTAACAGCGATTAGAGTTCAAATTAGCATATTATTGTATTGATCGTGTACCACTGTCACTGTGTTTGTACAGTGCCGCCCACAGCTGTCTATTTGAACGGTAAATCAAGTGTATTCTACTGAAGAAGTGCTGCTATCAAATTACTGTGACTGTTAATGCATGTTTCAAGAGAGAGAATCTGGCCAACCGGAGAGTTGGGGATGTCTGATCTTCATCATGTCGGCGGTATGTTTTAGGTCTTCGGCTTTGTTCTGATTGGCCTTTCCTACCTCAGGAATGGCTTCAAGCATAGATCTTTTTCTAGGGTTTCTTAAGTTGTTAGTATGCCCTTGAATAATTCGTGTTAATCTGAATGAACGAGAACATGGGTCCTCTAATGTAGAAGAAGCTAATTTCAAATTTAATGTAAATATAGCGGAACTCCCACAAATATGATCACTTCGGTCAAAATTACGATTTTCAATCATACC